CCCCCCCCTTTCGGTGTTTGCCATGGGGATTGGGTTTTGGTCGCTTGACAAGGACGTTGTAAAAAAAGCCAATTCATTTGGTGAATTGGGCAACCAGGTTACGGGGTTTTTTTACTTTTGTTTTTTTTTTTGGCGGTAACCATAATGGTGGTGGAGTAGATTTTTTGTGGGGGGTGGAGAAACCTCATTCCGGGCAAGGGGGATGATCGCACCACGTTGGGATAAAACGGTCAAGCTTCCTGGAGGCAGTTACACAGTGTTTATAACTGTTTTTGGAAGTGGACGCCCCAGAAAATAGATTAATTCATAGGCAGTTTTCATCCGTACGCAAGGAAGTAAGCACAAGATGCCGAGCACCTTTAGCAGGATGCAGCGCCCCTTTCATGGGATTCGCGGAATACCTCAGGGCGTTTCGGGTTTGGTGATGGGAGAGCCTGGTCCGGTGAGAACCGGGGGTGTTCCGTCCGGGTTTTGTAGGGATGGGGGGTAAATGGTTTAAGGATTTGGGCATGCAGGATTAGGGGTCCCCCCCCCCCCCTGTGCGGGGTTGGGTTTTCGTCGCTTGGCAACGACGTTGTAAAACAAGCCGCCCCCCCCCCGGTGTTTGCCATCGGGGTTGGGGTTTTGTCGCTTGGCAACGATGTTGTAAAAACAAGCCGATCACTTCGTGAGCTCAGCAACCAGGTTACCGATCTTTTTTTGCCTTTTTTTGTTTGCGGTAACCATAATGGTGGTCGAGTAGATTATGTTGTGCGGGGTCGAGAACCCTCACTCCACGCAAGGGGGATGATCGCATCACGTTGTCTTAAAATTGGTCAAGCATCCTCGAGGCAGCTACACAGTGCTTATAACTATCTCTGAAGTGAAAGCACCAGAAAATAAATTAAGTCATACGCAGCTGTCATCCGTACGCAAGGAAGTAAGCACAAGATGCCGGACACCCTTAGCAGGATGCAGCGCACCCTTCATGTGACTCGCCGAATACCTCACGGCGCTTCGCTCTTGGTGATGTGAGAGCCTGGTCCGGTGAGAACCCGGCGTGCTCCGTCCCGGCTTTGTAGGGACGCGTGGTCAATGGTCAAATGACTACGGCAAGCAACAAATGAGTACGCCCCCCCCCCCCCCCCCCCCCCCCCCCTT